GCCCGGTGCCCGCGGCCCCACCCCCCCTCCCGCCGCTCCTGGCGCGCCCCGCGCGGTCGGTGTCAGCCGGCAGCGGGCGGAGGGACGCGGCGATCGCTCATCACACACACGCACACGCACACGCACACGCACTGCGGGCGGAGGCGCTGGTGCTGGTGGCGGCGGTGGCGGTGGTGCGGGCGCCGCCGCCGCCGAGGCTGCGGCTCTCCCCTCCTCTGCCGGAGCGGCGGCAGCTCAGCTCCCTCCCCGCAATGGAGCGGCCGTCACGTGGGGGACGGGCACGTCAAAGGTGCTGCTGTTGCTGCCGCTCCGCCACACGGCAGCCCTCCTCCGCCGCCGCCGCCTCCTCCTCCTCCTCCTCCTCCTCTTCGGCGTTCTCGGCTGGCTCACCGAAAACAGCGGCCAAGAAACTGCAGCTGCCAGCAGATCTGGCAGCAGACCCCGTAAATGAGATTAGGCAGCGCTGGAGGGCCGGGCAGGAAGAGAATGTGGGCTAATGGGATAGGGGAGGAAGGGGGGAGTCGGTGGTGGAAGACACTGGCGAGGAAAGCGTGTCACCGCCTTCTTACTCCTTTACCGACAGCAACAGGGAAGCTGCCGGTTGCTCTGCCTTATGCGGGACACTTCACGTATTTTTTTCGGAGGGAACCGGGGAGAGCTTGTGCCGCGTCGGTACCGCAGATCTCTCTGAGCAGTGGAAGGGAGAGAGCAGCTGCGTAGGAAGGAGCCCTCAGGACACCTCAGGCCACCCTCGGGGCTGTTTTGCTACGTCCCAGGCAACGGCCTAATTTGTCAAGGCCTAGCATTGGCCACGCTAAAAGAAAAAGATCAGGTCTGCGTATCTTACCTCCTCATCGCATCCGGACAAGAATGCTTTGACTTTCCAAAAGGGTTGAAGTGCCCAGAACTCAACATCCAGAAGAACACAAAATAAGTATCATGTATCTAAGTATCTAAGGTAAGTGGTTAAGCTTTGGGATATTCCCACTGGAAATTGTCTTTTCTGGAAACAGGAACTCTTATTACAAGGACAATCTTGCAAAAGGAGTCGTCATCAACTCCGCACTGCACCTTGTGGAGTGTGCGCTGGTAAAGCACGCAATTCAAGCACAGACATTTCCATACGCGCTGCATCATCTCCACTCTTTTTTTTTCTACCTTTCTTGCATCTCAAAGAGACTCAAATCAACACTACCCTCCTAGAAGCTTGCTATTATCAACCACTGCAACTACTTTTAACTACTCTTCCAAACTTTGTAGAGGCCTTCAGAAACTTTAACAGAGAATGTGATAAATTAGCTAAGGCAACAACAGGGAGTCACAGTGGCCACAACAAAATAAAGCAGAAGGGACAGGGCTGATCTGGACTTCTTGAAGACATAAAGAAAGGAAGACATAGGTTTGATAATGGTCCTAGAATGAACACCAAAGTAAAGAAAGATGATCTCCAATGTGAATAGGAACGTTCTTCAGAGAGAGAAGTAGTAAAAAGTGAAATGACCCACATTGAATAAGAATCAGCAACTCAGTTCAATGAGCTATACTGGCAGCAAAGGAAAGGAGCTCTGTAGCAGACAGATACTGTATGTCTCAACTTTTACAGAGGAGAATAATTTAGTATGTCACAAGGAAAAGACAATGTGGAAGCAAATGGTGTGGACAAGAGAGAAATCTGGAGTTTTAAGATGGAAGAGAGATCAACACAAGTGAAACAATTCAGTGGCACAAGAGGAAAGTGCAGAAGTATCAAAGGTGCAAATAGCGGGCAGAGAAAATTACAAAACTAAAGAATAAACAGAGAACTGAGAAAATACTTGTTTCCCACTAAAATCCACTTGACGTACAATAGCATCTTGTTAAGGCTAAGCAACGAAATCTGAATCAAACTATTAACCTTCCAACAGACCCTGTGATTCAGTCCAGTCCACTGTTGAGAAATGGGTACCAGCAATAAAAATCTCAGTCTATAATTTCCCTAGCTTTCACACAGACGTCCTAAATGAGCAGCACTGCAGTGTTGAGATCTCACAGATTTGACGATGGAAGACTGACAGGTGCACTGGAAGTCAAGGGAAATGCCTCCCAAGATCTGTTAAGAACAAAGTGACACCCTTGTGGTTTTATGACATCAAAATAAACTCAAAGTCTTATTTATCAGACTGGTGTTTAAATTTCTTTTTGAGACTAAAAATAGGAACTGCACAAAATACCCTGTAAATGCAATTTTACCCTAGAAAAGGGATAGGAGGAAAGTAATTTAAAATACTGATAATACACATATTCCTTCCATTTGTTCTACCAGCCAATGCTTAACATAGTAATTGCGTGAAAGGGCGTAAAAATCAAACATTAACAAGTTTCCAATGAAGTCATACATTCGTTTTCTTACTGTGCCTCATCTTATTACTAATCCAAGTGAAAAAACTCAGAGAAAAAGACACTCTTTCGTACTGCAATTCTTGGACTACATACATGATGTTGTTTACAAGATGAGTCCAATCTACCTATTTACTATAAGCTATTCAGCAAATGGATTTTGGCAGGGGTTATGTGTCTTTGAAAAACTCCCCAACAAAGCTGACTAATTCAGGCAGCAACATTTCCAAGCTTTTATTTTCTGAGAATCTCTTCAAAACTAAAGGCAGAGGTATCCCTAACTGAGTTAGATTTTGGCTATACTGCCTCCAACCTTGCCTTTACTTTAATTCTGCTTTAACCATTCTGATTAATTTCACAGATAAGGTAAAATACAAAATGCTATACTAGTTAGGCGAGGCTTATATATTCTCTTTGAAAATAACCAAATTTCATTATCATAAATGAGGTTCTAACACAAGTATGTAGACAGAGCAATGACTTGGACCTACTGAAGTCAACAGGTGTTTGTCCGGCAATGTCAAAAGGAACTATAGTTCACACAGAGTCTTTAATCTTGTCCTCAGAACCAGAGGAATAACTCAAACATCCCAGTGATGTGTCTCATAACTACGGACTTGCTATGCTGAAGCACACCAAAAATTTTTCCACTTCACCAGCATGTCCACTGTCAAAATGAAATAGAAGCTCTAAACCCTGAAAGGGTTAAATGGAAACGAAGACCAGAAACAATCCAATAGAATTTCCTTTTTGTCACCATTTTGTGGTGAAAGAGACCCTGAGCTGGACTACTTCCATAAATGCAAGTGAAAAGAAAAGAATTTCTTTTAAAAATACATAACTGGATAATCTCATTCGAATGCAGTTGGACGTGTTTGTTCAATAGCCTATAAAAGGCTTTAATTCATAAATTACTTACACATCTTTCTCATGTTCAGAGTCATCACTTATCTCATACACAAGCAGCATTAGCATCCCCAGAAAGCATGGTCTGCCAGAAGAGGAATGGCCTGTTTCAAAATGCAAGGCAAAACTACTCATTAATAAAACAAAGATGATGAGAAAGGCTGCCAAGGGGCAGCTTTATCTAAAAAGGCAATAAAGTACACATGATTTAGCAAGGTGGTGACTACATTTTCTGTGTTTAGTTTGCATTGTCGATACAACTCAAGTATTCCAATAACATCATATGCACATGGTACACATAACACACAGGCATTTTTAAGTCAAAATATTATGTCAGGATGTATATGACTATCTGGATGTGAAAGAGATCAGGAATTTTGTTGTCTGTCCTGCTGACCAATGCTGTAGTATTATGTCAGTATGCTGCCTATATCCATCAATTCATCTCATCTTATACCTAGAATGAGTGTTCCTTGGAGTAAAGACATGCTGTGCAAACTCTTAGCATAGCATGATCTTGTTCCATGACCAAGTCTTTAAAACATTACAGCATTATAAACAATCACATTCAAACTTACTAAAATAACACAAACATTCTAGTTAACTAGGCTCTAAACACTGACATGAGTTATTACTGTGCTACCTTAAAGTATAAAATCCAAATTTTTTTTCCGCTGGCCTGGTTAAGCACAGAGACGGTCCATCTAC